GGGCCGCGCAGGGCGAGGGCGCCTGCCGCGCCGCAAGTCACTCCTTATGCCTCCGTGAGCATAGGACTTTTGCGGGCGGCCGTGGCTGCCTGCCGCCGCGGCTGGTGTGATGAGTGCGCGACAGCCCAGGGTGAGGTCTCCGCAATCAACGCCGGCAGGGTGCCGTCACCCCTGCGGACACCGCCTGCAGCGGCCGCGGAGAGGCCCGCGAGGCGGCGCAGCGAGCTGCGCGCCGGGGCTGTGGCAGCGAAATCGGCTGCTGGTGCCGGCGGCGGCGCTGGCGCCGCCGCGTGACTCACCGCTTGTCCGCTTCCTTCCCGCCCTGGTCACCGGCAGGCTTGCCGGTGCCTGCCGTGGCGCCTTCGCCGCCGCTGCTGCTGGCCCCTGCAGCCTCCTGCAGCGCGTCCCCTGGTGCATCGCCCGCATCCTTGGTGACTTTCTTCTTCTTCTGCAATCGCGTGCAGCGCAGCAGCGCGCGGCGCGTGAAAATATGCGATCGCGACATGCGGCGGCGGCAGCGGCACAACGGATCCCTGCCGACATGGTCATCGTGGTGTGGTGGCACTCGCAAGGATGCAGAACCACTCGCTATTTCTTCAACCCCCAAAAAACACTGCATGACGCAGCCCATACCTTCTTTTTCCGCTTTTTCTTGGCCGCTGCGGCCCCCTCGCCCCCAGCATGGTGCTCGTCTAGACTCTGCTCAGATTCCTCATCATCTTCATGGCTATCCTCGTGCTCTGCCAAGTGCTCGTCGTTCATCCCGCACGGGTCACCAGTGCGGGCAGAAAAAAGCGAGGTTCGAATATACTTGAGATATTGTAGACGCTGAATGGCCTCTCAGAAATAGCGTACAAGCAGTATCACTCGGCCGGCACTGATCTGATGGCGCGATCTCACCGCGTACGAGTGCTGACATACGATATGTGCTGGTCAACGTGGTACCGTAATCAAACATGCGGCATACTGCTGTCAGATTACTTGAGACTGCCATAGCCCAATGCGGCCATGTCGCTCCCCAGCGGGGCGGTGCCGTATCATCATTTGAACTACCCCAACGCCGCCCAGTCCATGACGTCCTGCAGCTGGTGTATGTGCAAACTCCAGTCATGACAGCACAAATGTGGTGGCCTCAACAATCCATCAGGCGGCAAAGCCAGCACTTCGATTTGCGCAGCAGGCGTCCAAGCTGCTGCACAGCTGCATGCTGTGGCCCAGGGAGAGTACTCAAGTCCGGGACCTGGGCGCCTGTGCGGGCACCACCCACTGACGGCCCTGCCCGCCCTCCTTATGCCGCAACATTACCGCACTCTGTCCTGTGGCCGTTGGCGTTTTCGACTGTCATATTGGGGCGCTCTATTGCCCCCCATCAAAAACTTTGCCCTCCAAGCTCACATCAGGTGCCGATGTCCAATTGTGCCCCTCAGGTGAGAGCGCTTGGCTGCGGCTATCCTCACAGTACATCCTCACAAGCATGCTTCCTACACTCTCTCATTCCAGGAATGCTTTGAGAGCACAGTCTAGCTTTGCAATGGGAGGCACGATGAGCACAGCAAAATCACAAAACTATCACTCGATTGGTACCGGTAGTAGAGCTGGTGCAGTCCTGACAGCCACCTGCAGGTTGAGATCACCATGTGAGTCTCCGTGTCTTGATGCTTGGGCAATTACTACGCCTTCCTCCTCCTCCTAATATCTTTTGACCTCCAATAAACCACACAACAGAGTGCTCAGCGACCGCTGGGCCGTGAGCGGGACCAACCCAAAGGGATTTGTGCGGGTCCACATGGTCAAACAATGGAAGCTGCTGCGAGCAGCTGCTGCGCAGACACTGGAGAGCTTGAACGCACAGATGTGATATCGTGAGCATTTGTGGTGTATATTTGTAAAATATTTGTACAGCTGGAGCGCCTCGGGCGGTTTTGCGCTGGCAACGTGTACATACGCCGAGTTGCCGTTTCCCTTGTCGGTATACATTGTATAGACGCAAAGGCACAGCAGTAACCTCTGGAATCCATGCGACAGGCTATCGCAGGCTAGCAGCACAGCGCCGTCGCAGCAGCACTCATCCAGCATGGGGCGCCTGCGCAAGCAGGGGCCGCAGGCGGTCCTTAAGACGGCACCCGCCTACAGCTTTGGCAACATACCAACACCTCCGCTCACAGGTGAGCGCGCCGCACGACCGGCATGGCGCTGCTGCAACACGGCGCGCACCTGCCCTGCCAAAATAGCACGCAGCAGCACCCAGCAGGGTCGACCCGGCGGCGCATCCTGCTGACGCGGCCGGCCTGGCGTGTGCAAACACACGTGCACGCGCGCGCGACAAACACGCCCCCAGGTGACACGGGGCCAGGGCCTGGCGCGTACTTCACGCGCAAGATCGTGGAGCGCCCTGGCGGCTGGAGCGTCGTCTCCACCGGCACCAACGCCCCGGCAACCACCATCCGCGTGCGCCCCATGGACGCACGCGCGGCCGCTGCCACGCCGGGCCCGGGTGCGTGCTACCCTCGCCTCACAGCAGCGCAGCTGGCCAGCAGCGCAGCCGCCAGTGCGTGTGCATCCAAAGTGCCGTCTGGCTGCAAGATCGCGCTCGCCTGAGGGCGAGCCTCGCCTGAGGGCTGATCCCTCAGGCGACGCTTCAAAGGCAGCCGGCTCAGTCCACCTGGGGCGGCCGCCAGAAAGTGCGCCATCTCCTGACGCGACCTGTGCGGCGACACAGCCAACAACAAACGCCGCGCTGCTTCTGCCGCACCACTCACCCGCTCGCCCACGCGCCGCCCTGCTACGCGGCTCCCCCGCTCTGCAGGGGACTATGAGCCGCGCGACGAGCTGCTGCGCCGCAGCAGCCCCCAGTTCACCATAAGGGGCGTAGACCCCAAGGCACGTGTGCGCACACGTACGCGCTGCACCTGCCACAGCATGCGCGCGCGCGCACGCGCGCGCGCGTG